CATCCATGCATGCATGGATGGATGTATAGACTAGATGCTATGGGTTGGCCGCCCAGCGCGGTTGAGGGGGCTTTAGACTCCGAAGTCAGAAAGACTTTTGTTGCAGACTACGTAAGGCTCAGACAACCTCCATGCCTCAGCGGCACATCAGGGCGGGCGGAACGAGATTGGAACCAGCTGTCACAAACGCATCATTTGCTTGCGTACTACCGCTTTGGGACGACAAAACCGTCAACTGAGCATCGCACTCTTGGCACGACGAACTCGAGCCCGAGCAGCAGCCTGAGGCAGGAGCTCCAACGCCGCAGGTGGTCCTCTCTGGAGCACGAAAGGCTCCGACCTCCCCAGGCAAGCAGTCGCCTGTCAAGCCTGCACAAGAGGAATGCGGCTGTTGGGACAGAAGTCCACCCGCGGGTCTGAGGCCCTCTGCGCATGCCATTGATGCAGGGAGCGGGTTGGGTTGGTCTACATATGCCCTGTGCTCGAAGTTGTTGCGAGAAACCTTCTGGAATTGTCGCATTGATTTCTCCACGTTGCTTTGAGCAGTGGGCTCGAGCTAAATCACACAGATCTGTCTTGGACAGAACTGGAGAAATCTTGTCCTTGCAATGTGTGTCGGCAAAAAAGGAAACAGATCCTGGCCGAGCCACCGCCTCACTGCAATACACTTACACTTAGGCTGGTAGAATTCGAACTTCACCCGCGTTCTGCCGTACGAGGAAGCACCTGTGCCAATGTGCTGTCCCGCTGGATCAGACCCACCATCACCTCTTCGCTTTGTCCTCGGCCAGTGAAGCAACGGCACCAGTCGGGTCATGTCCACGTCGTGGTCGTGTCACTGGAATGAATGAGCATCTTGGCACAGGCCTTGCCCTTCAAGACGGCCGACAACAATCCAAAAAGACCTGGGCCGTGTGAAGCCAAGATGCGTTCGAGTCCGCTTGAGCATGTCATATGTCTGCATTGGTTCAACACGGCCTCTTTCGGAAGGACCCAACGCGTCGGGTCTTACGCTAAGTTTGCTGTACCTGCTGTACAGGATAGCCAGTCAGTTTTGAGGACGGGACAAACAAACAAGTCTTCTCACAGGTTGGCAACTTAGCAATGTAGTGACTGTGCCTAGGTCTGTCGGCCGTTCGGAAGCCTGATTTACGGACCTTCGAACAAGTCTGTGACAAGGGGTGAAGACATCGCTCAAGCATTGGCAAAGGGTTGGCGGCTGTGTTCCAGCTCACCTGCACTCTCTCAGGGAAATGACAGCCGCTGGCAGCTCCAAAGAGCTGCTTTCCATGCCGCTCGCTCTCAGTATCCAGGCGGAGGCAGATCAAATCGAGAAATACTCTAAGGACATGAATTGCATTGCAAGTGGCGTTTCAGGTGCAACAGCAACTGAGCTGCCTTGCCTTCATCCATAAGGAACGCCTCAGGAACCACTGCTACCAAACATTTTCTCCAAAGGGGCGGCTGTCTATTTGGCCTTGAATGGTGCCTTTTAGTGCACAGGCAGTGACATCCTGCCATGTGGATGAGTCTTGCAAAGCTGCAGTACGCTGACCACATGTCCGATGACATGCCAATACACCCATCAATTGGGTGAAGTGCTCATGCTAATGGCAGCAGAGGTACAACTGCACCAAGTGCCATCTGAAACTCCAGGAACCTGATATGCACCGTGTGCAGGCAGGCACAGCCCGGACTCAAGCGCATTTAATTTAGTCTCGTTTACCTGAAACGGCCAAGGAACGACATCTCTTGAAATCGCGAGGAGCCAGTCTCGTCAGGCTGCGACATCATGCCTGAGTTCACTTTATGGTTCGCAAAGGCCCTACGTCTCAGAAAGCGCAGATTGTCCAGGTCACCCATCCGAAAAGCCAGCGCTGACTGTCGCACTTGAAAGCCTGCAAAGAAGGGCGGCACTCGATTGGAGCGTCATGCGTAGATGTAGGTCTAACTCACTGGGGTCACACGCCGAGCCGGTAGTCACTTCGTGCAATGGGCCCGCGTTGTTTCCAAATTGCCTAATGTTAAGACAACAGAGTGCCAGCTCCGGCATTGTCTATATCATGACCGGACTAACCCAACTTGTGCGTGATGCACCGCCTCTCGCAAAGATTGCGCTTTCTCGGCAGCGCTACCAACGCTGAACACCCGCCTGTGGCATGCACGTCGGCCACCTCCTTGCAAGTACTCCAGGCAGTCATCACAGACAGCTCCCGGCCAAAGCGAGGGACAGGCTTTTGTAAGGGCACGAAGCTGCTGCACTGTGGATCCGGGGACGCCGCCATCAAAGACTGGAACTCTCCGAGTGCCTCACAGCGTGAATCTTTGGACTCAATCAGGGGTAGCAAAGGCAACAAGGCTGCCTCAACTCAAGACTGGTGGCAATCAACAGCAGGCCAACCCTGAGCACAGCACAGCAAATAAACCCCTCTCACGATAATAGGGATCCTAATGTTGAGGCCTTTTCAGAGAAGCTTTTCTTGATCAGGGCTCTACATCAACCCCGACCTGCATCACAGTCCACAGTGACCTTTGCAAAGAGTTGCCTGTAACATGTGTCCAAATGATGATACGCAGGCAGAACCTGCATCCTCCATAGCAAGAAACTGGCCCAATCACGGCAATTGTTGAAGGTGCTTCTGCGCGATCACCAAAAACCCTGACGGACGCGATATATGTTTATGACAAGGCACCATGAACTTCGGCTTGCCCGGGGGGGTCTTCGATCCGTAGAACCGCTTGTACACGGCGCCCTCAAGGTGTCACAAAGATTTTCTGCATTGGGCAATTCAGAGCTGGTTCATTCCGGGATTGCAGTGCGATAGACTCGATCCTGTGCTCAACTAGCTGCTCAGGACCGAAGCCTAAAGTTTCGTCCAAGAGCACCTTACATCCCGAACTCTTGCGCTGAGACTCTGCATCGTGACTGCAGGGTTAATGCGAAAGGCCGCTTCCACACTTCTCCCATGTGGAGCAAGAGGGAAACCAACCAGGCAGCTGCAAAGAGAGAGCCCACCCCCTACCTTCGCAAATCAGCAACGCTCTTACTTGCGGAGAGCTGCTGAAAGCGTGACAGCTAACACAGCCCGCACTTCCCACCGCACAATCTTGATGCACAGCACTTGTCATGTTGATAGAATGCCCTTATACTCACTGGCCAGCATGTCCACGTGCTTCTTGTACAGGTCATCCACCGCCTTCATAGTCACGACAGGCTTGATGACAGTACGTGCAGTCTCAGCCGGTTTTAGCCGAAGACGTCACGACCATAGAGAGGAACTCTGAGGCTCTTTACCGGCCGACCTTCATGCCCACTCTTAACCGGACTCCAGGCTTGTGGTCGCTCGCTCTCGGTCTCGCTCTCTCAAGTGCGAAGCTTATTTAGGATGCTGTGGACGATGTGAACCAATCAATTACACCGTTCTTCCTAAAGTCAAGCGTTTTCCGGAACTCACCCAGCCGTCTGAAACTCCCGAATACCCTGCATTCCATTCCGATGCATTAAGGCAGTTCTTATGCAGCCCCGTTGCACAGCATCATACGTGACAGGAGTTGCGTGCCTTTCCGTTTTGGTTAATCATACACACCGTGTGCGTATCTCTTCAAGCTGGGACTTTCTGGATGTACGCATGGCCGTATCCAGATACTGTCAACACGACTCTCCCCCATGCCTCCACCCATAGCGCTTCCAGGAAGTCAGTCACTTCCCTTTCCATCTTCCTGCAGCTGACAGCGATAAGAAAAGACAACATTGATCCTCCTTGGGGCTTTCGTGCCTGGGGCGCTGCACTGGAGCAAACGCTCGACACCCTCCCCAGATTGTTCACTTGCTTGTGTGCCATGTCGCAGGGTTTGACCTTTATGCCCTATCTACTGCGTGTAGCTCACAGTGTGCTGCAGTTTGACCACCTCATACCACCTCCATTCCCCAGAACCTCATGCGCATTTCCGAAAGCTTTGCCTCGCCTGCCCTCTGCTTCCAATGTCTGGAGCAAGAGCGCAATGGCCTGAAGACAGTTCGCATTGTTTGGCAGGAAGAACGGATCTTCCCAGAGCGTTCCATGGATGCACTGGCATGGAAGGTGACGAAGAGCATGCGACATCAACCGGGGTGATCCGACACCGCAGAGATCTGCAGAGCCCTGAGAGACTCCGCTGGGCCTCGGCCATGGAAGTCGCAGCCTGGGCCCGAGCAGCCACGGCCACGGCAAAACACATCGACGGGCGCGCGAGTCATATCGAAGTTGCAGTCATTTGCAGTCTGAAGGGGTCATGTCCGGCGGCTCGGACAACCGCCAAAATGAGCTCAAAAGAATTTGGATGGGTTTGGCTAAGGACCATCGAGTGCAGCTGAGGCAAACTCCAAGGCATCACGACCACTTCGCTGTCTGAGTACACAGCTCCAGACTTGAAAAAGTGATGGTTCGCCACACCTGGAATGGTCGCCACGTCAGGACCAGTCTCTTACACGAACAACTCAGGAATAGTTTTTTTTAATATGGGGATTAGCGAATGTTTTGGGTTGTGAAGAGAAGAGAAAGAAACTATGAAGCTTTGCATTGTGAGACACTGCACATCAAGCGCACTGCGAGTGCAAAAGCTGGTAAGATCCGTACGCAAAAGGAACTCCAGAAACTCGTAGCGCACGAGGGTCTTGTCATTGACAATTGCCATCGTCCTCGGTTTTGGACTTATCCGGCTGAATGAATGCTGAATGCTGCTTTTGAGATTGTCTCGCAGAACTGCATCCTGGGATTCAGCCTTTGCCAGCACATGCAACTGGACAGGGCAATCTACGAGGTACTTGATGGTACTTGTCTCACACAGAAATCGTCACAAAAAGGTCGAGCGCTTGCCAGGCCACAGAGATACACTGCACGGATGTCCCCGCAGGAAAAGCGGCATACAAAGTGCCGACTGACTTTCAAAACTTGTGAAATGACGCCTTGATCGGAAACGTTTATTCCGTAGGTTCGTCGAACAAAGCTGACCATGTTCGCTGATTCTGACAGTTAGCTAGCACTCATGATGGTCGTTTCGTAGATTGATCAGTTCAATGAGGAAACCTTCGTCACGTGTTGGCTTTGATTGTTCACCGCCTTTCGGTTTTGCGTGAGCCGCATTGTCGATGTATGACCAGTGGGTTGGTTGTTTCCTCAGCCACAAACAGCCTGCACTGCATCGATGTCTTTTCCGGAGATGCAGCTCTGATGTCTTACCAAATCCCACAGAACAGCAATGACACACTTCGCAAAGGTCTTGCTTCGCTTGTCCGCAAGGGTTTAGGGTGTGCAATTCCCGCAAGTCATCATTCGCTAGCTGTCGCGCAGTGGTGCGCGTGACTGCTTGGCATCCTGTCGACTTCCCGTCTGACCCCCTAAAAGGGGTGGGGTAGTAGGGCGCCCGGGTCCATTTTTGGGATGCTCATGTGTTGGGGGGGGGGGGTTGAACCACTCTCACAAAGATCACTGCTTGTAGCAAGTATTGTAATAAGTTCAATAATACATAGTAGCAGCAATACACTCTACAGTGTAGAATAGCGAGACATAGGTACCACGGAACAAGGACATATGAGCCCGATACTGGGGTGGTGACTCCACTCTCACAATACTACTTCCTATCACAGGAGCCACACCTACCCGGGCCTATTTATGTTAGCGTTTACCCGCCAAAGGTGTAGAATAGCGAGACATAGGTACCACGGAACAGGGACATATTAGCCAGATACGGAAATGATGACTCCACTGTGACAATGCTACTTACTTCCTCTCACGGGAGCCACACCGACCCCGGGTAGGTGGGAGGCGAGTCAGCCACAAGAGTCGAGAACAAGCAGGAGACAGTCAGGAACGGAGAGGGAGCAGGAGGCAGCAACAGCAGGAGGCAGAGTCGGGAGCAGCGGCGGCACAGTCAGGAACAGAACAAAGGTTGATTCCGGAATAAACAAGTTTAAACGTAACAATTAAAACCGCTGAATGCATCGTTAAGGTTCTGCAAGGCTGAATAATGTTACTTGGGGGTGAGGGCTTGGGACGAAAGCTAGTTAAGGTACCCTGACGGAAGGGCACCTCCCAGGACCGAAGGCATGCAGCTGAGCAGGCACATGCAAGCGTCCGCGTTTTTTTACCGTGCCTGGGACCCGCCTAGAACCCCTTGGGACCCAGAAAAGCGGTGTTCATTTGCACCACAATACAAAAGAAATGAACGCCAACTCGTTTCCCCAAAAAATGCGATTCGGTCCCGAAAACCGACCGGGTTTGCTGCTTTTCGTGGCGGAGCCTCCGGGGGCCCTATATACCTATCTGGTTGTAAGCTTCGCTTAATAAGATACTCCGCTAGCTCCACGGGGGCTAGCTTTCGTGATAAAAGGTTACGGATTGAAAGACTTATATAAGCCTATCGCATGTTGTTTAGGCAGACGGGCTTAGAGTTAAGAAGTTTGGATACGGTGTTTACAACTTACGATCGTCGACTGATGCTCCGGCAAAGTGGTTCCCGTAGAGCCACCTGGCTGTCTGGAATCTCGGTCGTGTACCAGCTAACCAGTTTTGTATGGCAGCACCAAGGGCATGATGGAAGGCTGTTGTTGCTTGATCCCATCCTGCTGTGTGTTTTGAGCCTGTTTATGTTAAGCACTGCCGCTGCAACATCAAGTGTTCGACACACGTCGGGGCCCACGAGACAACGACCGGCCGTGTGGTGCACTGGACATTGGATTGCAACTGCATCGGGCTTACAAAGGAAGACCAATCCTGCTGCGGATGCTTATATACTTATATAATGGCGTTTGCAAAGAAGCTAATGGCGATAGCCACCAGGATGTTAGAGAAATCCGAGGCTTCGGGTGTACGGTTTATGGGGCTTGTACTGCTTACAGGATCTATCGAGCTGGGGCGTTGAGCATCTGACATAGGGCGCATGCAACCACCGCCACTGTTTCCACTACAACGGTGTCTCGGCGACCTATCCTGCTGGTAGATCGCGTGAAACAGGCGAGCCATGCGCCGTTCACCCTCATCAATGGATCACCAACAGCTAGTGATGCGCTCATTCCTGTTGTGACAATCAGCGTGATTGATTACTATTGCTGTTCAAAACGCTGCTATGGTAAATCTTGCGACTTTGTTTACAGTATTTATCATTTTTCTACCAATACCAGCGGAATTAGACACAAGGACCATTGATGTCGTAGTGGATTTCCTGACTTGTCTCGGGGGCTATTCCGGACTTGTGCCCTGTTTCTTCCGGACTCAGGCGTTCTTGACTCAAGTGGTATGGCGCAGACTCGTCTAACATTCCACCGACCCCTCTGCTGGATGCCCGCGTATCTCCTCTGGATACCTGGTACACGACATCCAACAGGGCCTTTGCACCATTGCTCGCCTGCAGCACAGTAAGTTCTGTCCCACTCGAAATCTGGCATTCGCGTCGGAGTACCAGTGGAAGCATCGTGAGCTTTCGGCTGTCGATGAGCTGTGCAACCAGCCCTGTGTTTTCGCAAGTTGCGCACAGCTGCGATCTCTTGAGTGCTTGTCACACGAATCTACTGTGCAATGCTCGCACAGTATGCTGGATGAACTTGATTGCAGCAATGTTGTTTCACAAGTTGTTCTCGAAAGATGGGGTCTCGTTCTCTGCAGAGGCCCCTGTGCAGCTATGAACGCATCTGCTGGTGATGTGACGTCACATCGGAAGCTCCTTTGAAAAAGTGATCCTATCTACACGACGACACGGGGCGTGGTATTAAAGAGATCACCGGTGCTAAGCTCGACGGCGAGCAGTGATGCCGTCTGCTGCCGCACTGGCCAGTTCTTGACCGAGAGCTACACACCCCAGCTGTCGTGGAGCGGACAACTGGTTTAGAGATTGCTGCCACGTTGACTTCTAAAGAATCTGGATTCTGGATGCTGCTGAGTCCAACGACATAGCACAACACTTCTTGGTCATGTTCGCCATCGTGCCGACTTGCATGTTCGACATTTGGTGTGTTCTTCCGGCTGCCTGCGACGGTCTTGCAACAATTCTTCGTACATGATTGTGACTGCTGTTTGTGGTTGCTGTTTGTCTTGGCTGCAGTTCGGAAAGCCGACCAGCTCGTTTTCTTCAGCCGGGGCACTTCTTCATCTCAGCGGGTGTGACCTTGGCCGCAATGAAGAAGCGATCTATGTCCGCCACCTGTTGACCGCTGGGGGCAGTTTGGTGAGCGGTGGCAAAGCTCCTCTACTTGAAAGGGAGATGCAGAGAGAATGCGAGTACCGGCACACTGGGGACATTCGCTTAGGAGTGCGCAGTTGAGTTCAAATGTTTTGACACTGGCTGAGGCAGGATGCTGCGGGGCATTGGGAGCAGCTTTCTGCAAGATTCAGGCACCTTGGTCGTGGTGCCATCGCAGATTCCACAGCCGGACATCAGCTCACCGGCCTTGCCACTGGGAAAGATCAATGGCATCGTGCCGAGTTCTTGCAGCAGCAAGATTCCCGTCCGATCCTGTAGCTGGCTGATGCCGAAACCAATCTCCCCAGACCTCGATTTCAGGATCTCAACGCTTCGAAAATGCGACAGCTTGCGGTGCACTCCGCCCATTGGGATGTTCCGTTGTTCGTGAGGAGTGCCTAGAGTCCTGGAGAACACGGTTCTCACAACCACATGGCCACAAGGCACCAAGCTCCAAAGTGGGTCATTGGCGCAATCGGCTTGAAAGGCAGATGTTTAGATAGCCTGGGTCATTCTTCAACAGAGGGATTTGTTGGACCTCATTTGTATGACCCCCAGCACCTTGGAAACAACGCCGACACCGATCTGACCATACATGGGTGAGGACATGCACAGCCGCTTATCCTGCAGCCTCAAGGCCTGACCAAGTCGAATCCAAAAATTGCTTTAACTAACAGACAACAAAACAAGGCAAGCTGAACCACAAACAAAGCCCGCCCCAAGTCAAGCCAAGACCGTCCTGCAAGAAGCTGCTGTGACTCCTCAACATCAACATCTGCGAATGCCGCCAACATCTTTCTAACTGCAGCGAAGGCACGCATCAAGGGACGAGACTCTGTGGTAGAGGCACATCCTCAGTCTAGAATCTAGAAAGTCCTTTCATAACACCGCAGTGCAAGTGAAGTGGCGACGTGACCACCGGCCATGTACAGGCAGACAAATCGATGCAGACCACAGTCTTAACAGCGAAGATGCTCTGAGGCCAGGACAGCCAACCATAGTGAGGTTCCATAGCCTCTCATACCCTACATGGACTGAACTCGACGAGAGTGGCTTGAAATTTGCCTCACCGGCGACTTGAAGGAACAGAGTCAATCAATGACTTGGAAGGACATTGGCCCCAGCGGCCCCAGCACTTTCAATCCGGGCTTTCTGAACACAGAGTGGAATGCTGCGAGATGTCAGTATTCCTACAGCTGATGAAGCCTGGCAGTGCGCGGCCGTCTGCCGTGCTTTGCTCGTCTTTGTCTTCAATGCTGACCATGACGGAGTCCCCACGTGGTCTGCCAAACACTTGGGCACGCCTTCTTGATATCCTCAAGTTCAGCATCTGGAACCTGCAGCAAGAACAACAACCGCCTTTTGAATACACTGCTACAGAAATGCTTGGGTTTTGCCGGTGGGCAACTCGAGCAGGAACACATCATTATCAGCCTGCTGACCGGTGCATGCTATAAGACCGACCGAGCTCCCCACAACGTGTCCCAGTCGGCACCGAAGCCAGTCGGTGCGAAGTGCTTCCCTGTCCGGGTGGCGACTTTGGGTCTAATTTGTTTGAGACTGTGACGGAGACCGGTTGGCTTGAAGATCAGGCATCTTTGACAAACCAACGCATGAAGAGGGCCATCGATTGTTGAATTGAATGGCAGATTCTGTCAGCGATGAGTCTACGATCCCGGTTCCTTTCCTGAGAACATGCCGGAAAGTATCCGACCAGCCGTTACTGCCCGCTTTGAAGTGCACACTGGTGTTGCGATGGCACAGGAGCCACAAGCCGGCCTGCGCAAAGACCTGAGCACTTGTAACAGCAACACTGCTCTCGCGCACTGACAGGACCGTTCCGACGCGTGATTGGGATCCCTGGGTCCCAATCACAGCTTTGCATAGCTAGACAAGCCTTAGACCTGCTAAATCATTGCATGCGGCCCCCTCACGGATAAGCAATGGCAAATGGCAAAGACTCCTTCTTGAAGGTGCTCCAGAACGGCGGCGAACGCTTGGCCTGAGATCGAAGCATCTGTGTGCACTAGTTGCAGTGTGCTTCGGTCTCAAGCCTTGCTTGCTGGTGCCCGAACACTGATACTGGTGCTTCTTTTTTACTTGTGCTCTGAAGCAGTCTGTGACCTGCAACTTGCTGAATGGTACGGGCTGCGGATGTGCCTTGGCTTTGAACTCCGCTTCCGTGACGCGTGGGAGCAGCACTGCATCGCCATCCGCTGGGCCATCAGTGACCACCTGCCAGGCTTTACAGCTCTCTCTCGACATTTTTTGTCCGAGCTATCCTGGTACGTGCAAGAAGTACATACAGCGGCTGCTGCAACATTTTTGAGGCAATGACCCCTCGGCATGCTCGGCACGCAGAAGTTGATGTCACATCGTCGTGTGCCATCCTCACGGTGGATCCAGTGGCAGTTGCCGGTGCTCATGCCGCGTGGTTCTGGGCCAATCAGAGCCTGCCTTCTCTCGACCACACTCGCTTCGGACATGCTGGCGATGTAAACTGGCCGACCGGAGCGTGGAGAGCTCTCTGAACCTTGGCCATACATGTCAGGCACATCTTGCCTGAATATGTGTGCATGCATACATATAACATGGCACATATCTGCACATGTACATGTACATATGCATAAGCATAGCCATATCCATGTACATATGCACGCACATACACATACACATACGCATACAAATGTACATCCATCCATGAATGCACGCACGCACAGACAGACAGACAGACACACACACACACACAAACGCTCTATCTCTTTGTATGCTACACGGCTACTCCCCTATGTGCTCACGTTTTGAGTGCTTGAATGCACTGAGACACCACTCATGACACAACAGCGGCATTAAAGGAGTATTCAACCAAGTAAAGTTTAAGTACCGGATTGGATTTTGAATAAACAACTAAACACAAACAAACAAACGCTGCTTGTAAACGAAAGATTTCGAAGAAGTGTTTATAGATTCGTTTGCCACTTATATTAGGTTATAACTATAACTGGCTCAATTTTGCTACCTGGATTGGCATGTCCTTGCAACTTGTTCTTTTGGAGGGTACTGGCTTTGCAGAAGAACATGTGTTTGAATCTACCATGATGCCACGTCTCACGGAGTAGTAAGACAAGCATTCGTAAACCCGGACGTTGGACTTACTATAATTACACACAAATATATAACTGAAACGTAAGTAATGAAGGCCAAATTCATCGTCATCATGAAAAATAAGGGCTGGGTCACATAGCTTTCTGCACGAGTGACAAC